TAATCAGCTTTTATGTAAAAAGAAAAAACAAACCAAAAACAACAAACCATCAACATCAACGACAACCAAAACAACAAGGAAATCCTCCTATCTCATGATAGAAGGAAAAAAGGTCAGTCTTACTGATTTAAAATATTAACCAAGTGATTCCTGAATGTGACAAAAACAACAACAACAACAAAAAACCAACAAACAAAACAAAACAAAAAACCCACAGTAGTGGGACTACAATTTAGCGTTATCTAGACTACTACCATAGTAAATACTTACTCCCTAACAGCTGCGCCTTTATCTTGTTAGGAAGGATGTGATGTCAGACTAATGCAGTGTGTGGGATGTCCAGCACTTGAGCAATAGAATTCCTGGTGAAACACAGACTTCTTTCAGAATTTTGTACCTAATTCTTTTTACATCCCCATACTCACAAACCTGGCATGTGCAATGAGTGCATTGGACTCACTACCATCTTAGAACAGAGTAGGAATGGTAAGTCTGCTTGTTGCTCAGGTGCAATTCAAGTGGTCCATATTCCTCAGTCTGATATACAGTGTATCTGCATGTGTCCTACAGCTGCTTTCCTGCTAACTGAAGAAAGTATGCAGCTTCAGATCAAATAGAAAATAAATTATATCTGTTAGGATTTCCTACAGAACACTTAATTTAAATATATGGTGACAAAAATCCTGTTTTATACAGGATATCCAACAGCCATGCTTCCAGCTGTGAAGTCTTTGAGAGTGTTTCAAACTCCAGAGGTGAAAGAGATGAAATATATGGGCTTATGCCTTAAGATAACATGGGCTGTAGCACCTCTTGAAAAGCTACAGCTGCTATAAAGCACAGGACTCAAGGGTGGGTTTTTTTTGCCATTTTTTTTTTTTTAGGTATTTTTGGCAGATAATTAAACATGAATAAAGATTTCCTTTGGAAGGAAATGTACGTGAGGCAGTTTCACAGCATACTAAAAAAGGCTGTGAAGAGAAACTTTCATAATGCATCAGATATTCAGTGTGCATAAAAACAAAATCAGATTTTTATCTATAGACAGCAAGTGATCAGAGTGATCCAGAACCAGGAACCTAAAATGAAAGTGTACAAATGTATTGTTCTTCAGGATAAATGCCTGCATCTGGCCACAAAGCCCTTTGACCTTACAGACACGTCAGCTACCTGCTTGGCATAAATGCATTCTCCAGCAGTTGCTGATAGTTCACAGGTTACCGGCCTTGTTAGGCAGGTTAGTAAATCTAGCATCCAACAGGTTCCTAAAAATTCAGGAAGATATTTCCTAGGTATTTGTTGTTGGGTTCTGTCTGTTTTGTTGATGGAGGTCTTGTCTTCCCGTCTTTAAGAAGTTACTGATACTCAGGTAGATTTAAAGTAAAGGTGAGTAGCTGGGAGAAACAACCAAAAGAAGAATGCAAAACCTCCGTGTCTTTCAAGGAAAGACATGGAACAACAGTGTTTTCTGTTTCTAACCTTGAAATTAGCATTTGCAATCAAGGACTTGGAAATGCAGGACCGAGCTGTGAGACCTTAAATGCAACTTCTATCTCCTATGTCTTGCTTATCCTTGGAGAATGTATTTTCCATTTCTTTTTGTGTATCTGTTCCAAATATTATTTTTAAAGCTCTATCTTTTGTTCTACTGTTCTCTCTCTGCCACTGATATTTTCACCCCATGGTACTTATTTTTTGAGGACTGTGAATAATCTGCTGCTTCCTAAATAAGTGCATATGTCTCAAAACCATTGCTTCTGTCACACAGACAAATATCTTCCTTCCTTAGTGGCATTTATTTATATTTTGAGGCTTTCCAGTATGTATTGAATTGTATAATTCCTTACAGCACTGTTTTCTGCTTGTCCTTCTTGGCAGTGGTACTTCCTGAAAAGAACATTCTACACAGTGGGCACTGTTCTACGCAAAGAACCCATTAAGTATAGTAGGTTACACTTGTAACATTGTTGTCTTTTAGTTTCCTTTTGATTGTATTCCTACTTCCTGTCTTTCCTTTTTTCCTTTTTTCACTTCTATTTTGCCTTTATTTCTTTCCTGCATCATCGTCCTATTTCCTCTTAACTTCTTTAAGGCACTGAAAAGGACAAATACTACCTATTCTAATCTCCCTGCCCTCTTTTCTGATTTAACAAAGCTTCTAGCTTTCCCTGTCTCTATCCTTTGTTTTCCTTTCCTTCCCATCCCCCTCCAAAAAATTCACTACTCCTCTGTAAAAGAATTGGTCAAGCTGCATCAAGGCATGGGTTCATCATGATTTGACAGAATCTTCTGAGTTCTCAAGATGTAGCTGTGTGGTGATTATTGGGCCTGTATCTCTGGCTATAAATGATATAGATGGACAAGAAAAATGAAGAGCAAGAAGTATTTCCTTTTAATTTCTGGCCGAATTATGATGGTAATTTTAGCAGTGTGCTGATACGTTTTCATCCATGCACCTGCTAATGACTGAATTGTAAATTTTGCTTTTGGGCCACCATTTTCCTGAGTCAAGAGAATAGGACTTTAGCCCTTTTCTAAGGCTGCTTCTGTCTCCTGCATGCCGATTCTCTGATCAGTCCATGTGTGTCACTTTGGCAGTGTTCCCAGTCACCATCAGCACAACTGCATTCCTGGATCACGTCTTGGGTAGCACAAAGCTTTGACAAGTTCAGTGTATTTAGTTTTATTTCCCTGCTGTACTTCACTGGCATTATTATTATTTTAATAGAATAATACTGGAATAGAGTGGTCAGTAAGTATAAATATAAATGTCTGATAATCCTTGCTTAGAATTACTGCATGGATCAAAATATGGGTATTTATGTATTTGCAGTTGGTGTCTCTGAGTGGCATTGAGCTTTAAGTATGCATTCAAAAAGAAACCAATCTGGAGTGGTCTGAACTGTTAAAACTGATGTAAGTGTTCACTTGAATATCATGCATTTCCAGTGAGTTCTCGCTGCTGCAGTGGGCTGTACGATTCCCTTTATAGCAGCACTGTCATTTCTGCTACATTCCTAAAACGGAACCAACTGCCAGCGTAATCCATGAGCCTTCCTGCTCCTTGCCCTGAAAAATGCTGCCAAAGCTAAAAAGGGAAAATGCTTCCAGCAGGGACTCCAGAATTACTTATGAGATGAGAATTTAGACTGTGGGCTGTTAATCCTCTGTTGCAGCCTAAAGCATGGGAACGCAAAGAATGTAAGCACGGCGATAGGATGGTGGTTTTCCTTTGACAATGATATCTCAAGAAATAATCTGAATTCAATACAGAGTAACGCAGAGTAGTAGTATTAATCTTACTGAGTAGCATAGTTATGAGTCATGTCAGCTCTCAAGTGCAGAGATTTGAGTGGTAACGTAGTTGTACCGTGAGAGAAGCTGGTCGAAGCTGGCTGGGGGGAAAAGGGGGGATAATCTTTATTCATGGTGATCGTTTTCGGGGTAATTAGCACTGGGGTTATGTTAGTGAAGTGTATGTTCTGTTTGCAGCTAGCCTTGATTAATGGCAGAGGGGTTTCTATAATTTTTGCACAATCCTAAATCTGGTGTTAGAAGAACCTTTATTTTGCTTTGTTTGTTTTAGCTCAATATTTAATAATTACTGTTTTAATACTGAATTTGTCCCTCCGTAACTCCCTTAGTTTTTGTTTTTGCAGGAGTAACTCTCTGATAATATGCAGTATGCTTCAGAATCACCTTCTCATCTATGATTTCCTTTGTAATTTGTCGATGGCAGCAGAATTTTAAAGCCTACCTACCCAGTACAGACACACAATCCTGAACAAAAACACGAAGCCTTGCTGCAGCGTTTCTAAAGAGATGACCTTTGAAATACTAATCTGCATTTGACACTTCCTTCCTCGCTGGCACAGTGATAAATCCTCCCTCTTTTGCTGTATTAGGAAAGAGAGTCAAACTACAGAATTTTAGGGAAAGGACTTAAAGCATTTTTGAATACGGTGTTTGGGCATTGGCCACATGGGCCGCTTACGTGCTCTTTTCTCATTTTATTGCACACAAGATAAAAGGCAAAGAAAGCAAAAACGAATCCAACAAGCTGCATTAATCCATTTTTGTGAAAGCAGACTGATAATTTGCCACGTGGAGGTTCTGCTGCTTTTCAGGGCCTGCCTGGTGCCTTAAAAAGCACAGAGTGCGACAGGGTTAATGGCCAGGAAGCGGCGGCGGCGGCCGGTAGCAGGGCAGCCCTGCAGGCCGCGGGGTGGGGGCCGGGGTGGCCGGGCTGCGGGTGTGCATCGCTGCCATCCCTGCCATCCGCATAGTTTGGGTCGTTCTCTGCAGCATTTTTATAGTCAGGAAAAGGTGTGCACTGAATGCCAGCAGCCCTCTTTGATAATGTAATTCTAGTTGTGTATTACTCGCTGCAGAAGTCAGCCATCAGGCTTCTCCCATGTAGGGTTTGGCTCACATTGTCTGAAAAAAAAAATAAATCCCACTGTCAGTGTATGGTTGCTGCAGCCGGTGTTAATGTGTTTACATTCTGGAATTGAAGGATTCTGTCTGAATTTTCAGTTTTTAATGTCCGTCTCTCCCATGCATGTGCACTTTCAGTTTATTTTGTTCCCTTTCTGTACCTTTGCTATCACTGTGTGAAACACAGTGGAGAACACCAGAAAAGCGAATTTAGCTTTTTGTTTCTAAAGAATCATTTTTGTGACCTGGGTGAACTCGTCCTTCTTGAGGTTTAAAATAGCCAAATGCCTTCAGCAGGGACACGTTGAGACACGTTTGCTCAGGCAGGCAGTTTGTGATCGCTTTCCTCTGCTTGAAAATCTACGTATTTCATAGGGGAAGTCGCCTTTTGGGAGTTCTTTTCGAGTTTTTTTGCTGAAACGGGCCTAGCTTAGCCTGTCTTCTCTGTGCACAGGATGGCTCCTGCTTGCCAGAGCTGCACAAAGATAATCGCTCAGGAAGTGTTTCAGCCAATCCCCTGAAGCTTTACATTCAGATTTACCAAAGTAGCCAATCCTGGATTAGCTTTTATTAGGAAGACAGATCATCAAGCTGAAGTGCCAAGCCCTTTCTGTCTGAGTACTGAGAGCCTGTCCTCCATGTTTTATAAGTATTGACATAACACTGTGTTAACAATGCATCCACAGAGGTAAGCCTTACTTTTTACATTTTTTTTTCTCTAAGACCTATGAGTTGTGGGTTGAGAGTGTGATTCTCTGTGATTTGTCGTGCAAAACTCACACCACAGCACTTTATTAAGTTGAAACTGTTTAAATTTGCTTTCTTGGGTCACATGGTTAGTAGCCATTAGCCACAGCTTTATTTTGCAGACTGGCAAAACCTTGGCATACCTACTTCTTCACAGGAGGCTGGTGTATTTAGAATTTAACAAGATCCTGGTATTCCAAAGAAGCTTTCTGTCTCTGAGCAGTTTGCCAGCACTATTGTCTGTTGTGTCACATGCCTGCTGAAGAGAAAATGGAAGCTAGGGAGCAGATGCATTTAACTGCCCTACAGGGAGTCAAGCAGGGATAATGGCAGACAGAAGAACAGGCAAGTTTACCTTTCTAAACAGTGAATGGAATAGCTAAGATAAGTTATCTCTGAAAAAATATGGGATTTAAAAAAACCTAGACATCAGCAAAAACTGCTAATGGCTGATTGTAGATATTGGGCCTAGGTGGTGGTGTGCTGTTGCATCATGTTTTTTATGCAGCTTATCTTAGCTTAAAATGATTATTGAACTCTTTTTCTTGCAGGGATAATTAATACAATGTGTTTCTCTTTCCGAGGGACACTGTATGGTTAATATTTTGTTCCTTTAAAAGGGAGTTTTTATGCTGCAGATTTTGGAAATGGGTTGCTGCTCAATAAAATGCAGCAGTACATCAGTTTGCAAATCTGATTCTTTATGGAAAATGTTTTTTAACTATTAGCTTTCTTCTTTTACATATTTTGAGTAAACTAATGTACCTTTTATCTGTGCCTTTTTGTTTTACACTGTATCAGCCACAGTTCTGTGTTGTGGAGTCCAGAGGATATAAAATCATCTGTGGTTCATGACAGTAGTACATGTTGTTCGTTCTTGTTTTTTGTCTTTTTTTTTTTTTTTTTTTTTTTAACTTTTGGTTTAATGCTACGTAATTATTTCAAGAAATTCCTTTTTGATCAATTCCCAAATCTGCCAGCCTGTTGTATCTTCTTAACTGGAAAAATGAGATGGGTGCTTGAACAGTTGGTAAGTAAGCAGCATGCTACTCTAAACATTTTTAATAGTTTTCCAAACATTTTATTTTTACTGGGTCAGTTAGTGCAGTAGATGAGGTGATTTCAGAGGTTAGCCATGTAAAAAATCCAATTTGTTTAGCGTCCATTTTAAGGGGCTTTTATGTGTAAACTGTTCCAATTTGAATGCACTGCTTTTTTTTTTTTTTTTTTCTTTTTTTTTGATAATTTGCTTCTAAAGTTTGAAACTTATACTTGTTGTTTTCCTCAGACCAGTGACAAATGTTCTACTTGCTGTTTGTTTGTAGCTCCTTAATTACCACACTCGTGAGGGTAAAGCGCAGTTTGGTTGTTAGGCTTGTAAGGTGTGATGAGAGTGCTAGTACTCAGCTATGAAGTGACCTTACAAAGTAAAGTAAGTAGTACTTAATGAGCATATGTTTTTGAAAGTATGCAAGGTATAATATCAGATAATGTTGCTCAATTTGTGACTGTTTTAGAGCATTCTGTGCTCTTTATTAAGATTTCAATTGTAACCTTTGTGTGCTTGTTTTAACAAGCTGTTTTTCAGTGATCACCAATATCATTACAAAAGCAGTGGAAAGATGCTCTTTTGAGCTTCAGCATCATTTTTTGTCCTGCTTTTAGCAGTTTGCACGCTTTCATGATTTTAGGAAGCTTTGAGCTCGGGTAGCTTTAAAAATGGCAGCACCTAGGTACACTTGCATGTTAAATTCTGTTGCCAAGATGGGATTCTGTAACATAGCCATTTTCTTGTGGTTACTTGTTTCTGGATGTGAGTATCTTATTGTAAGTACCTAGCTTTGCTTAACTTCCTCCTCCCTCCCCCCCTGAAAAAAAAATTACATTGTAAGTGTCTATAGTTCAATTTGCAACCTGAAACACTGCTGTGCTGTACCACTGAGTTTCATGTAATAGCAGTTTTGTGTGCAACTTGAATGCATTTTTCAGCATACGCAAAGATGCTAACGCAGCTAAGATGTTACTTCGTTTTTTTGTTCTTCGTTTGCTAAAAACAGAAATTACACTGGGAGATAATTTTCCTAACAGTAGGTTGTGCACATTAGCAGTTTACTCTTGGTCTCAGGAATTGCACAACATAATATTTGTTTAATATGAGGAAGCAGGAGTAAGTGATCTGCAATCAAAAAGCTTGTATTAAAATGGCTCCCACAGGTTTTGTTAAACTAGAATCTGTTTCAAATCTGCACCTCCAGACACGTTGCTGACAGTGAGGCATATTTGTATAAGCTGTCCTTGTGCATGGAATGAAACGTAGCATCGTGAGTCTGCTGAAGTTCCCTATTTTTAATCACTCGAACATAATTCTTTTATACTTCACAAAAAAATAAATGTCTGCATTGCAGCAAGATGTCTGAGGCAAGGTAGAGACAGCAGTGTTGTTTTACAGATCAGCCCAATCACGCTGCTCCATGGAGTGCTTGAGCCAATAGAAGCAGAGGGTAGGTTAAAGATTGACAATTGCAGTGGCAAGGCTGAGAAAGGCCTTCTGGAAATTTCTACCATCTTTGTTCCATCTAAGTTAAGCAATTTCAGCCAAGCTGAAGAATTTCATGTATTTTTGGTGCTTTGTCAAGGTATGATGTTATCACTCACTTTCATAGATTGCATAATAAGAAGCACTGTGCAGTTTTTCTGCAGTTCAGGACAGATGAAATATGGGGTTTTGTTAACGTGGTCGTCATGGGGAGTGTGGGGGGGAAGCACCTATTCTTTCTACCCAAGATCTTACAGGACTGGATCTTGTTAATATCACAATTAGAGCATACATGAAGCAATTTAGCTGAGTTTTATTCAGCTTGCACTAAATAGCCACTATTCTAATGTATCTAGCAGTTAATTTTATAATTGCACTTTAAACTTTCAGGCTACTAACGAGTAGATTGAATTGCCCAGGATGAACACGATTAGCCATTATTATTTTGTGCCAACATCCTGTTACTTTTATAATTAGCTGGACAAAGAATGCAGTGGGAGAAAAACAAAGGAGTGATCTGGACTATAAACTATGATGAAAACAGTAGCTTTTTAAAAGCTCCATGCTTCCTTCATTCTTCCCAGGCAAACTGTTTTAGTTGGAAGCTAAATAGCGCTAGGGAAAAATGAATGATTTCTTTAAACAAATGACGCTGCTTAACAGTGAGAGTGAAAAAAAGCAGAATATAAACCACTCTGAATGTGATGTTTTCCCCTCTCTCTTCAGGCAGGAGTTTTGAAATTTAGGGGAAGACCTGCAATTGTACTGAGGGAGCATGTACTGAAAGGGACTTCAAGCCCAAAAATTAGAAACAGGCCAACTGAATTAGAAATTTAGCTCTTGATATCAGTGTTCATGGACTTCAATTGGCTGTACTTGCTGACCTGTCTTCCATTTTGTGATATCATTTCTGCTTTGTTGTTGCTGTTTGGCTTTTTTTTTCTTCTTTTTGCTTTGTTTCCAATTGGTCATGTGGGTCCAGTAGCTGAAAAGTGATTGGTGATAATCAATTTTCCATAATAACGGTGCCAGTTCAGCACTACTGGTTTAAGGGTTATAAATTTTAGTAAAAGTTCCCCTCTTCTTTGTCTGGAATTCAGGATATTAGCTTGAATCACCTAATACTGTGAAAGTTAATCATAACATTTTCCCATAAATACATGAATCCCTTTGTAGTAGATTTAAGCCAAATAGAACAGGATTGATTTACTTAATTGCTGTTTGTAACCCCCTTCGAAGTAGTACACTGGCTGTGAGGGGTCTGCAAACCACAAACTGAAAGCCATTGTAGTAGGCCTTTGAAATTGTGTTCAAAAAGCATGTTTTAAATGTGTTTTTCAACAAACATGTCTTGTATTCGTGGGTTAATGTCTAATTTAGAAATGGCTGCACAGAAACTGGATTTTACTTATTTGATGCTTATTTGTCATTTTCGGGTTAACCCTTCAGGTGTTGTGGCATCTGTGGTTTATATTGATGAATATTGTGTTGCAGCAGTATGTTAATGTTCAGAATACAGCCACTATAAATATTTATTTTCAAATTTGATTCTTGAATTATGCTTTTAGCTTCTGAAATCTGTAGCTATGAATGTTGCCATGCTTGGGCCTCAGCTCAGCTATAGTGTTTGTGGTCTTCAGAGGACTGCATGACACCAAGGGTCTCCCTCCCAGCCCTGATTTTCTCTTTTGTGGCACTGTTCTGAATATACACTGAACAGCAGGAAGATTTTGAAAATAATGTAAATGTTCTTGAAATATCTGTGTTTTGGCTTTGCACGATAGCTGAGGTAACTGGCTTAAGCTGCTGTGTGTAGATAGCTGAGAAAACACTTTGTGTATCTTAATTGCACAGTAGAAATGTAGCATTTTGCAGGAGATTCTGCAGGAGGATACATAAAATATGAGAGGCTCAAAGTGGAGAGCGAATCTAAAATGGAGTGATTTCCTTAGTAACCTGTGACTTCACAAAGCCCCGTCTTGTGCCTTTTCAGTTAACATTTGGATGTCAGGTGTCCTTCTGTCATACTTTACCATTTCTGATCTTTAGATGCTTGCTTCGAATATAGCACTGCTGTTTAAACAAGAGATACTGTTATTACTGTTTATTGAATAAACTGCTACCATTTTAACTACAGTACAGGAATGAGGCAGTGCAGTGCTGTCAGACGCCATTTTAAGAATCCTGCATAAATAGCATAGCTACCGATGAGTAAGAGACTGTTATAGGTGAGTGCTTATACAAAGCTGCTATTTATTCAGCAATGGCATGCAAATATTTTTTTCTCAAATTTTTATTGAATGCAGTTTTTTGAAATCATTATTTAGGTATGCTGCTCACGGATGTGATATGGGAGAGACAGGAATTACCTTAAGGATGAAATTCAGTTTTAGTGCTTACAGTCT